CTTTTTAGATACATTTAAGTTATGTGCATGTAAAAAATTTTAAAAAATTATTTAAAATATTTTTAAAAATTCACTAAAAAAAATCAAAGTTATGTGCATGTAAAAATTTTTTAAAAATTATTTAAAATATTTTTAAAAATTCACTAAAAAAAATCAATCAAAACCAAACAAGGTGATTATAATAATCATATTTATATATTGAATTAGGTTTTCTCATGTTGAGATCTCAACATGATAGAACTTTAAGGGCTTATAAGGCCCACCACGGGTTCTATTTCGATAATTCAAACCGTTCATTTTGTAAGACCCGCAATATATATTATCCATGAAAAAAAATTATTTTGATTCAATAATAATCTTTTTCCATTTTATTGCATTTATTTATAAAAAAATTGACAATAAATATACTTTTAAAATAGACTATCTATAATTTTAGAGATAAATACGATAAATAAAAATATTACGTTTATCGAATTGCCTTATGGGTCGGTCCTATTAACTAGACTTATCCATCTGTATGTCCTGCTCGTTGTTTCACCTATTAAATATCCCCAAAATATCCTTCCTACACTTCATTCAATAACTCAATCATTAAATTACTGACATGATCCACCATCACATACTTCTAACCATTGGCGATCATTTCAACTGCCGAGGATAACCTCCAGCAACCTCCAACGATTACCTCTTGCAACCTCAAACGATTACCTTCGGCAACCTCTTCCAATGCCAATTCCTGACGCCATGTTTTAGCAAAAATAACGTTCATATCCACTATATTACTACTATCATTACCTCCGGCAACCTCTTCCAATGCCAATTCCTGACGCCATGTTTTAGCAAAAATAACGTTCATGTCCACTATATTACTACTATCATTACCTCCTTAGATTTGATGGTGACAAAAAAATAGAAGAATGAAAAGAAGAAGAAGAAGAAGAATGGGAGAGAGAGAGAGAGAGAGAGAGAGAGAGATAATGAAGATGAAGATGAAGATGAAGAGAAAAAAGGAATGCCTTAACAAAAAATAGTTGTCCTTAGTGTCATAGATCAACGTAATCATGGGCTTATCATTTGTTATCTGTCCGTTTTTCAATGATAAGTTTATCACTGATAGATTAACCCATCTAGCATATTCATCTCTACAATGACAAATCAGTAATAAATTCATCACTGTATAAATATGAAATTTCACCAACAGTATACAACATATTCAACAAACCAATTAATAATTTATTACTAATAGATTAACCATGCTATATATTTACCTCTCTCTAGTAACAAAAATAATAAATTTATCACTGTTTAAAAATCATCAGGAATAAGTTTTATGTCAAAACAAATAACATAACTTACAAACTCACAAAAATGACATAACTTTCAGAAAATAACAATGATAAACTAATCAACACAACAAGCAACATGAGTGTTGTTGATGACGATAGAGAAGGACAGTGGTTGACGTGAGCGATGTTGCCAGCGACGGAAGAGAACAATGGTCGACGATGATTACAACAAATGGGGAGGACAGTGGTGTGAAGCAAACGACAATGACGGTGAGGAAGAAAGACAGCGATAGAGTGTAGATCTGTCATCACCTTGTTTGGTTTTAATTGATTTTTTTTAAAAAAAAAATTTAGTGAATTTTTAAAAATATTTTAAATATTTTTTTTTTAATTTTTTACATGCACATAACTTAAATGTATCTAAAAGTAAAATATTTATAAATAAATATTTAAAAAATTCAATAATACACAGGAATACGAAAAAATTATTTAGTTTTTATATTTTTTATATTTGATAATTTTTTATTTTTTATTTTTATAAATATTATACTTTTCAAGTACATTTAAATTAAATGCACTTAAAACAAATTCTTAAAATATTTTTTTTTCTTCCTAAAAACACAAAAAATAAAAAGCATAATTTTTTTTGAAATAAAAAAATGTTTAGAGTCTTAGCCTTCATTTGGTATAAGGTGAAATGAGACTTTTTGACCAAAATAGTCATAAAAAGATAAAATAGATTTTTTAATCTAATAAGACAAAATGTCACATTAAAATCATAATCATTTTATTTTTTTTCTCACAAAAATAAAAAAAAATAAAAAAATTTATCTCAAATGAAATTTTTTAATCTCAGACTAAAATAATCAAAAAATTAAAAAATGAGTAATGTTAGAGATTCTAAATATTTTATCAAAAATTTTATCAAATGTCTCACATGGGTGTGAGACCCATACAATAAATCTCACACCTATGTGAGATATTTAATAAAATTTTTAATAAATTTTTTAAAACCTCTAATATTTTTGTTAAAAAATTAAATTGCAAATCCATCCCAAACTAACCTTTAAGCACAATGCCCCAATACATTGAAAGACATGCACATTTGTTAAGTACAACTCCCAATTCCCAATGCATTGAAAGGTGGGCATTTCAAGTTTAAAATGAATATACTCATTATCATAGAATCATTAAAATTGCAACACATTATTCAAATTTAAAATTTATGTTTTTCAAATTAAAAAACATTATAATGATTCTATTATTAAAAAAGATAAAATGAATGTACTCATTATCATACATATAGAGAAGGGAAATGCTGGAGACCCCAGCTGCGGGGCCCCCCCCCCCCCCCCCCCCCCCGGGGGGGGGGGTTTGGGGGGAAAAAAAAAAAAAAAAAAAAAAAAAAAAAAAAAACAGTTTTTTGGACCAATCAGAAGGGACCCCCAGTACCCCCACTGGGGTCTCATGCATTTTCCTATAGAGAATCATTAAAATTGCAACACATTATTCAAATTTAAAATTTATGTTTTTCAAATTAAAAAACATTATAATGATTCTATTTTTAATTATGTTTTGTTTATGTGTTAATATTACATTAATAACAAATTTGAGTTATAAAACTCATTAAACTAATACGTTGTTGACATATAAAATGATTAATAGTTAGCATACACACATGCAATTTAAGTAAGCAAAAATTAATTATGTAAAATATTTAGGGAGTGTTTGGGATGAGATAGTCACAGCCTAAAATACTTAATAAAATAAAACATCTCATCACATCACTCACTTTATCTTTTTATATGTCTTTTATAAAAAATAAAATAATCAACTAAAATAAAATATTCTTAAATGGGGCTTAATAATAATAAAAATGATAAATTACGAATACACTATTTGAGATTTTATTAAAATACAAATCACTCCTGTGATTTTAAAAATTACATTTCACCCATTGAATTTTCTAATTTCATAACAAACCGTCCATTTTATTAATAACTCATCAAGTCAATTAACAATTTTTAATGATGTTAAAAATATATTTTAATTAATAATTTAAGTAATTTTATTATTGTATAAGAGAACAATTAAGAATTTCATTTTTTAGTTAATTCTGTTAAATAAAAAATTATACTCTCTCTGTCTCAAAATAATAGTCTATTTTGGGAACCTAACTTTTTTTGATAGTACAATTATTATATTTTAAAAATATTAATTTTTCAAAATTACCATTTGACAATATATTGTTTTGGAAATATCAATTGTCATAATTGTATTTTTTTTATTATTAATGAATTTTGACGAAGGGTAAAATAGTACATTTATATTATTTTATTTCTTAAATTTTGAGAAGAGACTAATATTTTAGAATAATAAAAAATAAAATAAGAGACTAATAAAAAAGAAATAATAAGAAAGTATTTATAATTTTTTAAATTATAAAAAATAATTTATAATTTAAACAAATTTTAAAAGATGTATTTATAATTTCTCACAAAAGAAAATTTGAGAAGTCAAGAGTCAAGTTTGGCGCTGAGCAATTTGGCAAATAACAGCACTCTCAACATTTGACTAATCGTAAGGTTCGCTTTCAAAAAACCACCGCAAAAACAAAAACAAAAAAATAAGGTTAATATTTGGTAGTGTTTTAAAATTATGATTTAAATATAAAAAATTTATTTAGTTATAAATTTTGAATTGATTTTGAAATTTTTAATGTGATATATGATATTTGATTAAAAATTTTTCTAACTCATAACTAAACATATAATCTAAAATTCTATTTAAAATTCATAAACTTTTTAAAAAAAATCTCTAAAATATTTTTTATTTAAAATATAAAAATGACAAATGTCCCAAAAAAATAAGATTTCGATCAACTGGCCGAAAGTTCAGAGGACATCTAAAAAGATGACCGGATAGACATATTTTTTTAAAATGTGAAATTAATTTTTAAAATAGACAACAGTTAGGCCAAGTTTGGCATACCTTAAATAATCCATCTTTTTATCTTTTTTCTATCACATCACTTCTCTACTTTTCTACACATCTTTTCGTAAAAAGACAAAAAGTACACTTATTTAGGTCATCCTAAACAACCCCTTAAATCAAAGTGTGAAATTACGTTTGAAAAACATAACCAAACATAGCCAAAGGAAAACCGAAAAACAGGCTGAGGCTCCGTTTGACAAGAGCTAAACGGAACTTTTTTGGCTATTTTAGCCACAAAAGACAAAATAGGCTATTTTAGCCATAAAAAATAAAATATCACATTCAACCTATAATCATTACATTCTTCTCTCACAAAAAAAATTAAAAAATTAAAAAAGTCAAAAAGTTCTTCCCAAACCAAACTTTTTAACCCAGGCTAAAATAGCAAAAAAAACCAAAAAGCCAATCCACTTCCCCAACGGAGGCTGAGAGTCCATAACTACAACATACAGGTGACCACACAGAACCATTTCCTAGGTAACCCCTCCTCGTGAACCCCGCAAAACCAGCCGAAAGTACATATTAGCGTCATGGCGTGTTTAAGACGTATATATATATAAAATAAGTAGAGGACCTTATCACCCCAATGAACCATTTTCAACCACTTATCACTTTATACGTAGACGCACTTATCAAAACCCTCGCCGCATAATATCTCATCTCGTATTTCATCTTCCGAGACGAGATATTATTTTGTCTTCTTCAACCCCCTTCTGTGCTTCTTCTCCTTCGCTTCACATCTCTCTCCTCTTCTGTCCTTTAAATCCCTAGAGAGAGAAAGTTCGTGTAGAGAGAGAAAGACTGGTAAAAGCCGCGACGTCTCGCAGTCTTCGTCTTCGTTCTCGTAAATAAAAAGCTTCGATCTGTTTCTTTGTCTCTCATTCAATCTAGGTACGAACTCTCTATCTCAATTTTCGTACTCATATACAAAAATGTTTATATATATACAGATATGGTTTTTGAGTAGTGAGAACTTTGTTGATTGATGTGTTGTTTGTAATTTAGGGATTGTTGTTGAAAGGGTTTTGATTTTGATTTTTTTGATTTTTAAAATTTTTTGCAGTTTTGGTTGGGTTGAAGACAAGCATGTCGTCTCTGAGTAGAGAACTTGTATTTCTTATTCTTCAATTTCTGGAGGAAGAGAAATTTAAAGAGGCTGTTCACAAGTAAGGCTCAATTATGTACATTATTATTATTTTTTAATTATTTTTTTTGGGTATTATTTTGTTTGTGTTTGTTTGCTAAGAAAATCAAGGAAATGGATTTTCCATTATTTTTTTAGCTTAGATGGTCATTCATTTATGGGAAGCCGAAACCCAGGAAGCTAAGATTTGTGGATTAGTTTGATTACAGCCCGTTTTCAGAGATACCAAATGGGGGTTAGAATTGTATATGTGTTTAGAAGATTTATAGTTGTGTATTAATTTGTATATCTATTTATGTGTTGCAATTTGGTGTGATTGAGCCAAGATGCATATGTGTTTGGAAGATTTATAATTGTATAATATCTATATTCTATTTGTGTTGTGATTTGGTGTGATTAAGCTAAGATTGGTTATTTGTTTTAATTTTTGTTTGTATGTTGGAGATTGGAGCAAGAGTCCGGGTTTTTCTTTAACATGAGACATTTTGAGGATATGGTGACAAACGGGGATTGGGATGAGGTGGAGAAGTATTTGTCTGGATTCACAAAGGTTGATGATAATAGATACTCCATGAAGATCTTCTTTGAGATCCGAAAACAGAAGTACTTAGAAGCGCTAGACAAGTAAGTGCTAAACTGATCATTTTGAAAGTATCTCTGTGAAGCATGCTTCATTAGCTTCTTTTTGTTTTTACTTTAGTTCTTTTGCATCTTATTTTGGCTTGAAACGTGTGTTAATTCTTTGCTATTTTTCTCATTAATTGTAGGAAGGATCGTGCGAAAGCCGTGGATGTTCTGGTGAAGGATTTGAAAGTTTTTTCAACTTTTAATGAGGACCTCTTTAAGGAAATAACACAACTTTTGACCTTGGAGAACTTTAGGTATTAAAACAATAGTCTGCAAGAATTGTTTTTATTGCTGCCTTGTTCCTACATATCCAATTTGTCGAACATCCATCGTATTGTTCATGGTTTCTAACATTAACTTACTGACCCGCAGAGATAATGAGCAGCTATCTAAATACGGAGATACTAAGTCTGCTAGGAGTATAATGCTAGCAGAACTTAAAAAGTTGATTGAAGCAAACCCCCTGTTTCGTGAGAAGCTAACTTTTCCTAACTTGAAGAACTCAAGATTGCGGACGCTAATTAACCAAAGGTAATTTGTTTGTGTTTTGCAGGCTTAAGTTTTTCTTCCAAGTTAAGATATTCATCTTTAGTTGACACTCTGTTGTATTGTGTTGTTGTGTTGCACTGCAGCTTAAATTGGCAGCACCAGCTTTGCAAGAATCCAAAGCCTAATCCTGACATAAAAACCCTGTTTGTAGACCATTCTTGTGGACAATCACAACCAAATGGTGCTCATGCCCCGTCGCCTGTAACTAACCCACTAATGGGTGCTGTTCCTAAAGCTGGAGGCTTTCCGCCGCTGGGTGCTCATGGTGTAAGTGGAAGTAGAGGAGTTCACTCCCCGTTCATGTGATGCTTTAACTTTTATTTCTAGAAGTTTGACTTGGTGTTTTTTTTTTTTTTTTCAAAGCCATTCCAGCCAGCACAAGCTGCTCTGCCAACATCTATTGCAGGATGGATGACTAATCCATCTCCGGTTCCTCACGCATCCGCTTCTGCTGGGCCCATTGGTTTCATTCCAGCTAATAATGCTGGCACTTCAAGTATAATATAAATCCTTTCCTACTTACTACGTGAATGGTTATTTATCGCTACAATTTGGTGGCATACACTGAACAAATAAATAATGCATGAAGATTTTAGTGATAAGATGTCTTTAAGCTTGTGTCCACTGTCCATTAAACTAAAATGATATCTGAATGGCATTCATTATGAAGAATCTTCCATGATTCAACTCTCTCTCTCTCTCTCTCACATCCAATCAACCCAAGCTCTCTCATTATTGAGTCTTTTTGCCTTCTGTGTATATGTTCACTTTGTAGCAGGTATTCTAAAGCGCCCCAGGACTCCTACAAATAATGCAGCTGTGGATTATCAGACAGCAGATTCTGAACATGTATTGAAGAGATCAAGACCTTTTGGAATACCAGACGAAGTACTGCATAACAATTCCTCGGTATTTTCTTGTGGACTGGATGGAAGTTTAATAGGAGTTTTATCACCCAAAGTTATATCTTTGCTTATTTATTTTAATTTATTATTTTTTTTGGGCATGATTAGGAGTTTTGTATTCATGTTTTGAAGCTCTTAGATGGCGTGATTCATTATTTTTCATAATTAATTTTGTGATTAATGGAATTTCTTGCCGTTGGGGCTCCTTTTTCAGAATTGGTAGTTGATTTTTTGGAAAATTACTTTACCCCTTCGGGTTTGGCCCATTTTGTGATTAATTTTGGATTGAAGTGCAAAGTGGATGAAAACCATTAGAATTATTTGAGCTACAATAAGTAGACCGTTATGCTTGTCAAAATGGAGCCTGAAAATGATAATTTTGCCCTGAAAAGAGCTCTTCACACTAGGTAACGCGTTTAGGGTATTTGTCATTTCATTAAATCAGTTATGATGCAGATCACTCCAAACCAGAGGGAGTTTGTGGTTACTTTTAAACTGTTGTGGGACTATGTATTTTTGGGCCAAATTCTAGTGGGTAAAGTAATTTTCTCTTGTTTTTTTCTTTTTAAAAAAGTGTGCATATGAGTGGAAGGCCTGACCTTATTGCAGCATCTATTAAATCCTCTTCCACCTTTTAATGTGGAGCAGTCACAAGTCATTAAGATGCCCCTTTGTCATCAAGTATGGCACAACAAGAATACAATGATGTAGTTCACTTAGTTCAAATATGTAAGGTCCCATTGTACCATGGAATAATGGTTTTAGACTTTGTTTGGTCATTAGGAACTTGGAATCAATTATTAAATTGAGTTTCAGCATTAGGAAAGTGGAATCTATTTTCCAGCTGAAATTGAAGCAACTAGTGCTTAGGAAACAAGAGAGTACTTTAGTAAGAAAGAAAAGTAAGTGTGAGAAATTGCATGCTATAGGAAATTAGTTGAACAATTCCTGTCTACATTAGCCTTTTCTTTCAAATGTGACTGACTGACAACATCAAATGTCAAGAGTGTCCAATTCTGGAAGCCTAGGAGGATAGACAACTACATGAGAAATTCGAAATGATTTGAGTTGCGACGATGAAAAAAAAAATTTGAATGCACTTAATTCAAGTGTAAAAATAGTAAAGCAGCAGGGAATGGGCATAAAGAACTTAGATTTGTTTTATTTTATCTGCTGTCGGGTTGTCAGTTTGTTTGCATTTTAAAGAGCTAGTTTTTTATGAGGCTTATCTTATGCACACCAGAGCAGCCCTCTTTATGTCTCTGTGTGCATGTCCTCATGTTTTGTGTTTATTACCTTTTTTATTCTTCTTGTTTTATGTTTAGTTATTTTTTTTTTGAATCTGTACATGTTATCTATTTGAAGAGGGGTAAGATGAACTAAGGTTCATTTATAAGCCTATCTTCCGTAGATCCTTTAGTTGAAAGTACGTTTTCATGTTGGGATGGGAGTTGAGTTAATTGTTCCTACATTTACATGATCTCGTTGACAGGTCAATAATCTGCCTGTAAATATTCTGCCTGTTGGATACCATGGTCAGAGCCATGGTCAGAGTTCATACTCTTCTGATGATTTGCCCAAGGCTGTTGTTATGACTCTAAATCAAGGTTCAGCCGTGAAGAGTATGGATTTCCATCCAGTTCAACAAATTCTACTACTTGGTTAGCTCCCACCGTGCCCCACTTTTCTGTATTGGTCAGCTTTGAGGAATCTGGATAATTGCTTGTTTATTTCTTTTGTTTTTGTTCGTATGTTGATAATTTGATTTATGATAACTAATTGTAGTCGGAATAAACACTGGAGAGATCATGGTGTGGGACCTCAGTAGTAGGGAGAGGCTTGCTGTTAGGAATTTCAAGGTTTGGGAACTCCAAGCATGCTCAATGCCTCTGCAGGTTAGGCTGCTTTAGTACTAAATAACTTTGAGTGAAAAAAGTATGTATTTGATGCTTCCTAGAGTCATTGATACGTTTTGTGATTGTGTATCAGGCATCTCTGGCCAATGATTATACTGCATCTATCAACCGTGTGATTTGGAGTCCTGACGGTACCTTATTTGGTATGTTGGCCTAACATGATTGCTCCATTCTACTTAAAAATATTTTTCGTCATATTTTGAGGATTTTTCTTCCTCTGAAATTGCTCTTCCGGTGCTAGAACTAGAGTAGGCTATGCTTCGCATGATCTCAGCTATTGGGCAAAGAATATCTCCTACAAAAGAAAATTCTCATACATTGAACTGTCCATTATTATTATTATTTTTTTGTTGACACTAGACAATGTACTTCAATGAAGGATATTGAGAATGAAGTGGGGATTTTGTTAGTTCTAATATCACATTCTTACTTTAGGTGTTGCATACTCCAAGAACATTGTGCACATATATTCCTACCATGGTGGCAATGATGTACGAAACCATCTAGAGGTTTGTGCCACAATCAATCAACTGGGAGTCCATTGATTTTCTTTTGCTTTGATTTTTTTTTTCCTGTCAATATTTCCAGTGTTCAGAGCTCACTTTAAATCTCTGCACAATATCGTTTTTTGTAAATACCGTTATCCAGATTGATGCTCATTCTGGTAGTGTTAACGATCTTGCATTCTCTTACCCAAACAAACAACTTTCTATTGTCACATGCGGGGAGGATCGGCTCATTAAGGTTTGGTTTCTATGACATTGCTTTACAAGTAATGCAGAGGATTGGACATCAATTGTAAAGGTTTAATTTTCTACAGGTGTGGGATGCAGTTACAGGGAATAAGCAGTATACTTTTGAGGGTCATGAAGCACCCGTCTATTCTGTATGTCCACATCGCAAGGAAAACATTCAGGTATTCTTTGTTCACTGTATAATATATAAAAGAAAGCATTGAAACTAATGCTAAGCAGTGTGTAATATATGAAGAAATATGCGATGTAGGTGCCATATCATGCCATATATGTGACATGTGACATTTTACTACTTTCCTACATTGGCTCTTAAGTATTACATTTTTTCTACATTAACCCTCCAAGTAGGTTTACCCCCTATTTACACCAACAGAAAAATATATAGAAAAAAAATTCTCACTAGTCGCGATCCAGGCAACTATACTTGACCGTGTATGAATGGAAGGAAGAGAAAGAAAGAAAGAAAAGTGGAGGAGGAGATAGAAAATGGCTTTTGACCGTTTGTTATTGTGGGAACATGGTTTCACTTTAAAGGTGTTAGTCTCATTGACAAAGGCACTTAACCACAGGATGTGGGATGTAACTAGGGCTAGTCATGTGAGTAGGTATCAGGCTTTTACAGAAGAGCTTCAGCAGTTGGATTAGGGTGCTTTTGGTTGGTTGGCAGGGAAACCACCTATATATTAGTACCCTAAAAAATTTAAAAATTTAAGATTCGAAATTTAGTACTACAGGTTGGAATTTTTAGTAATACGTGGAATCTTATTACTTCACCACATTGGACCCTCAAATATCATTTTTTTTCTCACATTGACTATTAAAGTGTCTTTTTTTTTTTTCTATTTACACCAAAAAAAGGGAAACTTTCCCATTAGTTGGGTGGTGGCCGGGCGGTTACACATGTCAGACAAATGGCATGATGTGGCACATATGTGAGATTTTGTCAAAAAAACGGACAGACGATTGTTGGAGCAAATTGTGAAATTTTAGTTACTTAAAGGATCAAAGTGAGAAGAAAAATTTTGAGGGACAAAATTGAGAAAACACTTAAAAGTCAAGGGGGGCAAGGTTTGATTTACTCGATTTCTTCTAACATGCATAGGTCCCTCCCTCCAGTTTCTACATAATCTTCTATTTCTGCCGAATAAGCATAGTTGTCAAATCGGAATTCGTATCGTGAATTGAAATAGTTTCGTACCGAATCATGAATCGAATCGTGAATCGAAAAGATTCAGTCACTTCTTCTAAATTATTTAAAAACATATATTACACATTTAGATGTTAAATATATCTTATGAATATAAAATATTTAGACTTAAATCAATAAAAATGTTATTTTGAATGATAATCACGTAGTTTAATAAGTAAGAAGTTAATAAAGGTTTCTATGTGAGATCACCGTCTTATCTTTTTTTCTTTTTTAGATATTTCTTATCAACCATTCTTAATAAAAATAATAACTAAATAGACAAACTATCAATTTCTAAAGTAACAATAATTAACAACGATATTGATATTTGAACAATAAGCATACATACTTTTCTAAGTAACAGTGAGCAAATAATAAGAAAGAATCATTTATAATTTTTTTTTAAAGCCTAAAATATTTTAAAAAGGATAACTGACCTCATACATGTAATAATTAATTTAATAAAATAGCAATAGATAATTCATAGTGTAATTTTAATCTCAAACATCTTTAGAAGATATATTACGATTTTTTAAAGGAAAAAAAAAATGAGAAGAAAGGTGAAAAATATGTTGGGCCTGACTAAATCTGATTGGATCTTATTAAACACTCCATGATCACTAAAATAACCACAAATCATGTATATATGCTGGTTATTTTGGTATTAAACGCTATTAAAAGTTGTATTATGTCATTTTTACTAAAAAGATTGAGGACAAATAGAGTTGAAAATATGTCGGACACAATAATTTTAAAAATTGTATGAATCACACAAAGTGAATCGAATCGTGAATCAATTGTGAATCGTGCGATTCACTAAAGATTCACTTCCAAAATAGATTCAACTATATTCGAATCGATTTTGCAAAAATTGCGAATCGAATCGCGAATCGTGAGATTCTGATAACAGAGCTAATAAGTTGTAAGCAGAAGTTGTACCAAAAACTAGTATAGACTTCCCCAAATAAAAAAAGAAGCTGCTATAATAAGCAGCTTATATAAGTTGCACCAATCCACCCCTATGTCAAACTACTCAAATCTGACCTATTTTTAGTGTATTTAACATGATTAAGTTTACATACAGCTATGCTTATTTAGAGTATAGTCAAAGTAGCTGTGGTCATGATCAAAAGCTAATGGAGATATGTTTAGATAAATGGAAAAGCTATGATTTTTCTTTGTTTTAAGAATATCCATTAGAAGATTTTTTTTTTTTTTTAAAAAAAAAAATCTTTTTGATCTAGGTCTAAACGTACCACATATGTCAAAGCCATTCTAGCTCTAGTCATTTTCTTTTTTTTACTGTCCATATCCCATGTGGTGTGGTCATCTGTATGTTTGAAGGATCTGAAACTCTCGAGGGGTTTACTTGTCTCGGACATGAGTATTAAAGTCCAAGAGGTTTAACGTATCATGGGACTTGAAGTTGTAGGGTGTTTCTTGCACTAGCCTTATTATGGTTGTTGGATTTTTTTTTATTTATTTATTATTTATTATTTTTAATTTTTAAAAACTTCTACCTTTTTTTATTCCAGTTTATTTTTTCGACGGCAACTGATGGGAAAATAAAGGCGTGGTTGTATGATGACATGGGTTCTAGAGTTGACTATGATGCTCCAGGTCATTCATCCATCACAATGTCATACAGTGCTGATGGGACCAGGTTCAAAAAATGATTCCTACGTTCTACTTTTTCGGTTACCTTTTTTGTATTTTTGGGGTTAGGGATGAGGGTTTGATATTTGCTAAATATGGCATTCTCAACTAAAGGATTGGTTTCATCAAATGGGCACCTGATAGGTTATTCTCTTGTGGGACCAATAAAGAAGGAGATTCATTTCTTGTGGAATGGAATGAAAGTGAGGGAGCTGTCAAGCGTACTTATCATGGTCTTGGAAAGCGATCCGTGGGTGTTGTGCAATTTGATACCACAAAGAATAGAGTCTTGGCTGCTGGTGATGAGTTCATGGTCAAATTTTGGGAAATGGACAATGTTAACTTATTGACAACTATTGATGCTGAGGGTGGATTACCGGTAATTGTTAGATTCATGTCACTCAAGCTATGTTTGGATGGTTGGAATCAAATGGAGGGAATAGGAATCTCGCTACCAGGAATCACATTGCTAGAAATAGAATTCCAGTATCAATGTTATTCATGTGTTTGGTTTAGATAGGAATTATCTATCTAAAATTGATAAAAATTCAAAATTGTGGGTCCAACTAACTTTTTTACTCTGAAATAGTCAACGTTCCTCCAAGAATGTGAGATTATCATAGGGGACGACAGGGATCAAATTCCAGCTTAGTTTGGGAATGCGATTCCTGGTAGAAGAGGTAATCAGGAATCACATTCTTATTCTATTCCGTTCCAAACATTGGAATCATATTCTCATTCCACCTCAGGATTCCTGCCATCCGAACATAGCCTCAATGTAGATCTGTCTGACATGATCAACTGTTCTTATTTTTTACTATTTGTCTAGGCTTCTCCCTGTATCCGATTCAACAAGGAAGGTATGTTTATGGCTGTTTCAACAAATGAGAATGGTATCAAAATCCTAGCAAATACAGATGGCATCAGGCTACTACGGACGGTTGAAAATCGTTCGTTTGATACTTCTAGAGTTGGCTCTGCTGCTGTTGCGAAGGTACATTGTTTGTAAACTTTTGCATTTTTTGTGCAAATATATTACTGATATCATATTTGAATAGGCTCCTACAATGGGAACATTTGGTGCTGCTAATGCACCTGTCGGATCGAGCATCGTAGATCGAGCTGCTCCAATGGCATCCATTGTTGCAATGGTGAGTGTTGTCTCAATTGTGAGGAACCCAGTTTTTGAACAGAGCACCTTTGTTCTTTTGATTTATGTATTTTTTAAATATAATTATGCGTACTATTTCGTGTCATTGTGATAAGTCTGCATCATGTGCTTGCAACTAGCTTTACTAGAATGTTTGTTCATTCAATGATCAATTTTGACCTTTTGGTTATTGTAGAATGGTGACAATCGAAGTTTGGTAGACATAAAACCCAGAATTGCTGAGGAGTCAGTAGACAAATCCAGGATCTGGAAACTGACAGAAATCAATGAACCATCACAATGCCGATCCCTAAGGCTCCCGGATAATATGACAGCAACAAAGGTAGGCCTATTAGAAATTATTGGATTGATTTTTCCTCTTTACAATCTTCTCTATAATTCAATGTGTGCTTTGGTTGTTTATGTTATTAGTGGAATGCTGTCTACTTTCTTCTCTCTCTTTTTTTTAAATAATTTGTTTGCTTCATCCTCTCTCTCTCTCTCTCTCACACACACACACACACACACACGCCTAATTATGCTGTTGACTACATCCTTAAGTTTAGTTAATAAAGAAACTGCATAGATGCATTAATAGCAGCTATAATTTGTTTGTTTCATTTTATTTATTTTTTACTCCCTATGACCCATTTTTATGCGGCACAGCATACAAAAAGCATCTTTTCTTTGAATAATAGATTCACAAAAAGCCCTTTGTCTTGTTTGAATAAATTTTTGGGAAATTGGGATTGTACTTAAAATATGAACTTAAAGAACGGTAATTTGGGGAAGAGCAGATTAAACTTTTATGAATTTTAAAACTTGGTTGGACACATAAAATGGGACTTCTAAAAAGGAAAGTAGGCACTCATAAAATGGGATGGGGGGAGTGTTTTTTATTGCTTAACCATCAGTTATTTGATTAATTTGATTAGATTTCTTCCTGCATAAAAATTTCAAAATCGGACAATTTAATTAATTTATACACATTCCACTCATGCATTTGTTTTCTGGACTTAAATCAACATCACTGAAAAAGGCACTAGCACCAGAAAGTGCTTTTGACTGAATGATCTGTATGTAGACTAAGGCCTTGTTTGTCATAATTTAAAAAAGTCAAAAAGTTACTATTCTATTTAAGTCACATCATCTTATTTAAGTCACATGATCTCTCTATCACATCACTTCAAACCCAACCCATACCCAACCCATATTTTATAAAAAGTTAAAAAGTGCACTTATTTAGATCATCCCAAACCACCCCTAAGAAAAGGATCTTCGAAGATTTTTACTTGCAACAGAAATCTTGGATGTTCTTGCAACACAACATGCAATAGTTTCTCTTTTACTTTGTGTTGCTTGATACTTTCTCTAGAGTAGAGATTTGAAAATTCATTGAGCTTTTTTTTTTTTTTTTTCTTTTTTGGGTTTTCCTTTTGAACTTAATTTGGTTCCTTGTGTTCTACATTCTTATGTTCTCTCCCCCTCCCCCCTTGTTTCAGGTTTCTAAGATGATCTATACAAATTCAGGACTTGCGATTTTGACACTGTCAGCCAATGCAGTGCACAAACTCTGGAAATGGCAGAGAAATGAACGGAATGTGTCTGGCAAGGTATATTTAGTCATCTGTGCAAGAAACTTGCATTGCAATTCTATGAAATTAATATTCATAAGCTTGTCGCTTACACAAGTACACCCAATTTGCCTCTTTGTTGTAGGCAACTACTAGTGTTGCACCACAGCTCTGGCAACCTTCAAGTGGAATATTGATGATGAATGATGTTAGCGATACAAATCCTGAAGATGCTGTTCCCTGCTTCGCACTATCGAAGAATGACTCTTATGTAATGTCAGCCTCAGGAGGGAAAATCTCGTTATTTAATATGATGACATTCAAGGTAAAATGGCTTTTACACCAACTCTTCTTTATCTTTTCTCAAATACTCTTTTTTTGTGAGCTGTCAAATATTTTCTATTTGGTTGATTAATTTATTCCTAACTGTTGAAATGGCATGGTATTTGGAATCTATGATTATTATAAGACTTTGTTTGGAACTTGGATTTGGGGAAAAGGAAAGGAAGGTGAGGAGGAAAACTGTTGTCCTTTATTTTTCCCCCCTCCTACTTAGGAAAAATGTTGGATTAAACTTTTTATGAACTGAGATAATAAGTCATTGAAAAGAAATAAATAATGGAAAAGAGGATAAGGAATGAAAATTTCTCCATTAGTTTCGTTATATTGTCTTTTCTTCATTATTTTCCATGGTAATCAAATCCTTTGCTTATTCCGTTCGTTTTCCCTCATCAAATCCATGCACCAAACACATCCTCAGAAATTTTGCCTAACTCTTCACAAAATTAGTTAATTTACTTGTTTACTTGTCAAAAAGAAATTCATTTTTCAAAACATTTAATCTCTACTCTCTAGCCTAAATTTATTTGAAAAATAAAATGTATACCAGTCTTTAGAAGGACAAATATTTAAAAATAAAACATTGTGAGCTGAATAAAGAATAAATTGATCAAGTTGCTAATCATAAGTTGCTAACATTTGAAATTACTTTTAGTAGGCTTGATTAGGAATTTTCTATGTTTTTTCCTCCATTGTTTTCCCATTGTCTTTCATTCTTTTGTTCTTGTTGCGTTTATTGTTTGGCTTTCATGAATGCAGACAATGACAACGTTCATGCCGCCTCCACCTGCAGCAACATTTTTAGCATTCCATCCTCAGGACAATAATATCATTGCAATAGGGATGGAGGACTCTTCTATCCAAATATATAATGTCCGAGTTGATGAGGTTGTAATAATCTGTTTAAGTGAAGCTTTAAGTTTGTGAGTTAAATTCTTTATGTTTGAAATGTTACAAATCAATTGATAAGTTCAATCTTAATATCTTGATTTCAAGTGGCAATGCATTGTGGACCCATATTAAGTTTGTGAGTTAAAACTTGTTGATAATGGGCCCACCATGTTAACATTCTGTAATTTCTATTTATGCAGGTCAAAACTAAGCTAAAAGGCCATCAGAAAAGAATAACAGGCCTTGCCTTCTCTAATGTTCTCAATGTTCTGGTATCTTCAGGTGCTGATTCTCAGGTATGAAATTGGGGCCATGTGTATGTTACTTTGTTCAGCTAATTTATGCCTGTAGCCAAAAACAAAGAAAATACCAAGCCATAATCAAGAGTTTGAAAAATTCCACCTGATTAGAGATCACAAGGCATTGGAGGATGATTCTGTAAAATTACAGTGGTATAAATGTTACATACCTACGAGCAAAACAAAAATAAAAGGGTAAATTACACTGACCTCTCCTGAGGTTTGGATAAAATATAGCAAGCACCATAGGTCTGAAGAAAGGAAACAAAAGTCTCACTTCAAGCGGGGTAGACCTCGGATGATTCAATTTGAGGAGAATTTCAACCTCATGTTCTTTTATTGATATACTTCTTTTACACAGAAAAATTACCAACTAATTGAGCCCATTAGTAGGATAACTACCAGGGAAAACTACTCCATCCTACTGCCCCATGACTCTCATCACCAATCAATTACCAAAATCCATTGTATTGAGTTGTTGGATGCTCTTCTTTCTTCCTTTTTTCCCAGTGATTCGGTACTCCTATAAGAAATCAAATATTCATTGTTTTAACTTTTCTTCTATAAACCATTGCTCTTCATTTCCAGAATTACTTTTAAAAATTGGCAAAATTTTGCATATTGGAGTTATACAGTCAGTGATGCTCATCTGTTTCAACAGTTGTGTGTTTGGAGCACAGATGGATGGGAGAAGCAAACAAATAAATACTTGCAGGTTCCAAGTGGGCGAACACCGAATCCTCTTGCAGATACTCGTGTACAGTTTCACCAAGATCAGATTCATTTATTGGCAGTCCATGAAACTCAGATAGCCATATATGAAGCACCTAAACTGGAATGCCTTAAGCAGGTGAAGCATATAATTTTTCTTCTATTAGATGTTCAAATTAAACATCTTGGACCAAAAAGTTCTTATTGTCAAAGGGTTTGTTTGGTGCAGCTTTTTACAAGCTGAAAGTTGTTCATTAGAAAACAGTAACTCTGCTTTCTAATAATCAATTTTTTTCAGTTCATTTATCTCTGCCTCATAAGCTGTGCAGAAGCTAAACCAATAGTCTGGCACATATTTCCAAACTGAAAAAGGCTATAGACAGCCTCATAAGCTGTACCAACCATGGTCAAAATAATGCATCATTTTTCACTCATATTCTGAAGTTCCGAAACTAGGATTTCATTTTTAGGTATTTTGGTGAGTCATATACTGAGTGACTCATGATTTGTTTACATATTCTTCTCAGCATCACCAACCTATGTACTGCATTTGGTAGTGTCAGATAATGCTGCGGTTTTAACTCATTCAAAGTTTTGAAACTTGGATTTTGTTTTTTGGTTATTTGGGGAGTCATGTTCTGAATAGCGCCCTAGATCTTCAGCTTATGTGCTGCATGTGTGGACATTATTTGGTATATTTTTTAACAAATATGAAATTTTGTGGATCAATTTATTTTGAAGCAAAATTGGGTTCTGTTTGTTTGATACATGTGTTATTAGTTTAGGCGGGAATTTGTTTTATTCCTAGGTTCTGACATTTATGTTTTCAACTTGTGTTTCTCTAATAGTGGGTTCCTCGAGAAGCAAGTGGTCCAATCACACATGCTACATATTCCTGTGATAGCCAATCCATATATGTCAGTTTCGAAGATGGCAGTGTTGGTATTCTGACTGCTGCAACACTACGATTAAGATGTCGAATCAACCCTACTTCCTATCTACCTGCCAACCCGAGGTGAATACTTATCTAATCATAGTTGCTAGAATCGTGCAGTTCATGATTCGATTTGATTCGTACAATTCAATACGAGTTTCAATCAAAACAATTTGAATCATACTGTTAAATCTTAAATCGAGTGACTTGTACAATTCAATTGCCATTCACTGTGATTTAGTTATGTTTGCATAATATATGGAATGATGTTATTTTCGCAAAATTAAATACTCCCTCCGTTCCAAAATATTGGTCCCTTTTGGGGAATCCAACTTTTTTTGGTAGTACACTTATTGCATTTGAAAAAAGTTGGTTTTCCAAAATTACCCTTTTGATAGTACATTTTTTGGGAATATCAATGTCATAATTGTACTTTTTAAATTGTTTATTAATTTAAAAGGACAAAATAGGAAATTTACATTATTTTTGTACTTGATTTATAAAGAGGGACTAATATTTTGGGACAATGAAAAATGGAATAAGGGACTAATATTTTGGGACGGAGGGAGTATTTTATCAAATGGATTCGCAATTCAATTTGCTGTTTTGACAACAATGTATTTAATTACTTCTGAGGCAATAATATAGGTCCTTTTCGTTTACCTACCTTTATCTAACAATTTAATGTTATTACAGCTCAAGAGCTTATCCTCTTGTCGTTGCGGCACATCCATCTGAACCTAATCAATTTGCAGTAGGACTTACCGATGGTGGAGTCTATATCGTCGAGCCACTAGAAGCAGAAGGTAAATGGGGCACCTCCCCTCCCCACGAAAATGGCGCCGGGCCTAGCACCACCTCCGGTGCAGCCAATTCAGATCAACCTCAAAGATAAAAAGTACCGATACATACAGTCTATCCATCTCTTTGCACTCTCTGGCCCCACCATAAGTTTTGTTTTAAGGGGAAGCTGGAAGATTCTTTTTGTTGGTAAGTGGCACTGAAAGATTTAGGTTTTATAGATGTAGGATAATCCGAAATCAGCCTAGTAGAACTAGTTTTCAAGGGCATCAGTGGCTTCAAATTCATTCAAATCCTAGAGATCATGCTGTTTGGAACTGTGATGTAAATTTGCAAGGCATTGGTGAAGCAGATCTGGAGTTCTCTTTTGATTTTAAAGGAACTTTGGAAGGAAATGATGGTTTTTGGTTCTTGCTCTTTGTTTGTCCTTCAACTACTTAGAAAGGGTACTTTGTTAATTAAAATTTGTTCTTTTATAGTTTAATGTGTTTAGCAAGCTTTGCTGATTTGTTTCCCTCTTGGGTCTGTGTTAATATGATCTATTCAGTTTATTACTTGAATTTATGCTCTCTTTTATGTTTTTGGTAATGGGGTTATTTGTTGCGAGTAGTCCCTAGGGTACATGCAAATCTCTTGTTCTACACATACTAATTAATTATCAGGAATAGGCCTAGGGGGTGGCTCCAAGAGGGCCAAGCACTTGGTGAGATTTGAATTCTTCGCCTTGAAGCGCTTGTTAAGACTCGATTGGTCACCCGGCTAACCCCTTGGAGTTGAATTTATGCTCTTCTTTGTTGATGTCTGGTGTACTTTCCCCTTGAAGCTAGTGCCTTGGTGCGTAAGGACTCCCACCATACCACTATTCTTCATATCTTTTCCTACTCTATTTTGTAGACTTATTCTAAGTTTACAATGATGATCCAACTGTTCATCTTGTAAGTCAAGCAATAAAGATGAGTAGTAAAAAAATTAATTTCATTGGATATCATCAGATATATAAACAATCACATTTTGTTTTAAAAATTGATGGCTACTTTTAATTTAAATTTAAACTGTTCATTTTAAAAAAATAAAATGTAATTTGTTTATTTATTCATTGATATCTGATGAAATTAATTTTTTTACATGTAAGGTTTATTGGATTAATAGTTCAAGATCATTGTTGTTGGCTTAAATTGGAATCCACAAAGAGTAATGTTAGAGATTCTAAAATTTTTATCAATGTCTTACAAGAGTGGAATTTATGTGAGTTCTATACTCATGTGAGATATTTAGTAAAGCTTTTGATAAAATTTTAAGAATTAACATTTTTGATCCATAAAATGAAGTATGGAGGAATGCGAAAGATAATGAATGGTATGGAGATGAGTTATTCTTATAGTGGAAGCCATAGAAGTTGGGTTCATTGGAGTGACTTTTTATTCTTTCCCATATGATTCATGATAAGGGTTCAAGATACGATTATTTTATTTTAAAATACAATTGTCTTGTTTTTTAGTTCACGTTTTGTAATTCATGATAACTAAGCATATTTTGGAATAAAACTTTTAATACAGTAGAACAACTAAAATATTCTTGTTCTTTAGAGAAATTATCACGCCTCTTGTCAATAACAATTCTACCTAATTGGGGAGTTAGAGAGTGTAGGAGAGGGTTCATTGTCTTGTTTTTTAGTTCACGTTTTGTAATTCATGATAACTAAGCATATTTTGGAATAAAACTTTTAATACAGTAGAACAACTAAAATATTCTTGTTCTTTAGAGAAATTATCACGCCTCTTGTCAATAACAATTCTACCTAATTGGGGAGTTAGAGAGGTGACAAAACCCTAACACTTTCATTAGACTATCTCTAACGGTTCACCAAACTTGATATCAAATTTAAATTTTGATGAAAAAATTACTGTTTAGTGTTCCAACGGTTGCACCAAATCGATATCAAAATGAGATTTCACCAAACGATTCATCAAACTGAAGACAGGTTTCGCATTTCACCAAAACACTGTACATGACCGTTGGGGAAGACGAACCGGTCGACCAGCCGGTTGACCAACCGATTATCCATGAAAAAGTTCAAACAGTTCGACATTTTTTATTTAAACAATTCAAAAAAAAAAAAAAAAAAAATTTTGCCTTACGGTCGACCGGCCGGTCGACCAACTGGTTGTCCCGGAAAGAGTTTAAACAGTTCAACATTTCTGGTTCAAAAAATTAAAAAAAAAAAAAAAAAAATTTCAATCACCGGTCGACCAACCGGTTGTCCCGAGACAAATTTGGTGAAAGGTAAATCGTTGGAGCATCTGGTACCAAATTGGGAAAAATAGTGATTTTTTTACTCAGATTTGATGAAAAATTTAATAAACCGTTGGAGATGCTCTTACAAAACCAATAAACTGAAAAATGACGGATTATGTTGTGAAAGAATTTTGAGGCTATAAAAAGTAGAATTTGTGCTTTACCCCTTTTTTGAAAGTTAAAGCAAGAAACTTGACTTTGCGAAAGTCATCATGAGAATAAGTTCAAAAATATATCCTCTCAAAAAAATATGGCGTTCAAAAGCAAGGAGGGAGCGAGCATCCATGACAATAATATCTTCCGTTCCGTGGTGGTGTGACTTGGCACATCATTCCTAGTTTGTTTGTCTTAGGAATAAAAGATCGATACATTTACACGAAAACTATTTAGAACGGAAACTAGAAAGGGAATAATAACCTTTGAATCTCGACTCACCCTCCCAATATGGGTCCGGGTCCTTCACCCTCGCAATATGGGTCCATCCCACCATAATGGATCTCTCCTACCACTACCCACTAGCAGATTGATTTAGGGAAGGAAAACAATGCCAATTAAAAAATTCCTCCCAGCCAGATAAGATGCAACGTAATACTTTTTGTTACATTTCAGCATATCATAGCATTCAGCAGATTGTTGTAGCAAATAAAATCCTGTCAGAAAATGAAAAAAAAAAATTAAAAAAAGACGACACCACCTATAAAAAGCGAGGGCAAACAATTTCGCTCACAACTTTATTTAGCATTTCTGACCAGAACAAGCAACCGGGTTGCACCACACTTCTAGTATAATGAACCTCCTAAAAGGTAACACTGTAAAAAGGATCCAAACAATGTACAATCAATGAATGAGATTTCAGTAGAGATTATGATTAGCTAATTCCGTCTTCGACTAGATTTTGTCCGCCTTTTGGGGTTGGCTGCAGAGGACACGTTAGATTGTACTGGTAAAAGTGTTCCTCCTCTGATCCCATCTGTATCTGCCATGGTAGCAAGCGTTTTCTGGGCTCCAATGTACATTTTTAAGTCTCTAATCTGTGATCACCATTCAAAATTATAAATTTCAAAAAAAACAAAAACAAAAGAGTAAGTTAACAACTGAAATAGTTCTAACAAATAAATTACACGGCAGTCACTCATATACCTGGTCTTCTAGATCCAATATTGTTTCATCTCTTGACCTCACAGATGAAATTTCCCTATAAAATAAAATAATATAAATTATCTGAAGTTGGCATAGGTGGCATTTCATTGTCATCATGTAGAAGTTACAGCAACTGGGATTTGACATAGGCAAATTACTTTTTAGCCAATTTTTAGCTTGTACATGCAATTAAGGAGAAGAACAAAAGTCATCTGGAAATGCATAGTTCAAGAGAGCATATTCTATTCAACAAAATATATTCCCGACAACTTGAATCACTAGCAAGTACTGTATTGTTGTTTATCATTCTTCTCCTGTCCTACGTTATCACATTCAAGACGAGGAAGCAATCAAACATATGGTACAATGGAAAATAAGCTGGCGTACCTCTCCTCAATTTCCTTGACCACTTTCTGCAAGTTTTCTTGGTTTTTCATAAGATCTTGATTCGTCTAAGGACAAAAGATAAACGGAAACCTCGGGACGTGTCAGTGTAATTTCATCAATGATCATGCTCAATTTAACGAACCTTTATCGCAACTACAATTGTCAATCATCATACAGATAAGTGAAAAAAATAAATAAGCAATGGCAGTGTGATCAAGGTGTGGTGACCCTACCACAAAATCTGCATTTTTGGTGAAAATAAACACCAAAAAGATGCTTTTGAAATTTCAAAAACTATTTTTGCACCCAAAAAACACATGAAAATGAGGAGTGTTTTAGAAATTTTCATTATTTTTTAGTGTTTTTCAAAAAAGCAGATTTTGAAAATGAAACCAAACAGAGATGAATTTTTAGAAGCTTACATCTGCAACGGCCTTCTTTTCCCCGACACATTTTTCCAGTTTTGATTGGATATCATGCATCCTTGAAGCCAAGGCTTTCTCCACTGCTTCAGATATTGAACTCTCCTTTTTACTTTTCGCCTCTATGAGTAGCACTTCAAAATGCTGAAGGAGAACGCTGGTAAAAATGTGATAAAAATAACACAGTAGGTCCTTATTTATTCTACTATCTAAAAAAAACAAAAAAATTTGTTTCCTACCTAACTACATGACTCAATGATTCTAAGAACCCCTACAAACCTCAAATTTTTGTACGCATGGGTGACTATCAATAAACAGAAACTACTCTTTAAGTATAAATGCAAGCCTATACGTACTTGTCGTTGAGTCTCCATCTGGGTTGCAAGAAGACGGTTATACTCGTCCATGATCTGATATCAAATACACAGATCAAATAAGCATTGCATGCACACTGGAAAATGAATAATCATATAACTAACGAAGATTGTAGCTAATGTAGTGGTTAAAATTATGGGTAATCCCAGCACAAAGTCCCAGTAAAAATGTATTAGGATCACTTAAGAACATAGATTTAATTCAGTCTAGGAAGCACACATGGCAGGCCATGGACACACTTCCCAGGGTGCCACATCCATACGTCCATGTCTGATGTGTGTTGGACATTGACACTAGTTGCATGCACTGCAGGTATCAAAGACTAACTTGAACTTGTTTTGTATCTTTTTTAAAAGCTAGACACATGAGACGTGTGCCAATTGCCGAGACACATGGGAGACACACTAGGGACTTGCACAAGTATGGGGAAAAAAATGGCAGCCAAAAATTTAAATTAAAAAGGCACATATTTATATATTAATCCTCTTTTTTAGGCTTTTTAATATTTGAAAGCCTATATCCTTCAAACTTCCAATCTGTTTGTGAATGCATAGAGATTTTTAAAAGACATTATGGCTTTCTAGTCCCATCTTGTTTCTCCCAATATATGAACATAGAAAATGATTTATTTGTTATGTAAAAGATGACTATACTTTTTTAGGATAAATTATACTGACACCTCTAAAATTTCTGTTTAATACAGATCCCTCCCTCACATTTGAAAATTTTCATTTCCCTTCCTGAAGTTTGTAATCTTATTATAAACTGCCCCTTAAATAACTGATGTCATGTCCTAAAATTTTTTAAATGACCATCTTATCATTTTTCCTACCATTTCTTCTTCCTATCATCATGACTATATTCTACAACTTTCCATCATTAAATTCTACTTGAACATATTCTTATTGAGTGATGATATACAAACATAAATTTTATATAAAATTTTCAAACACAATGATATAACTTAATGGTGACATTTTACTTTAAAATAGAACACTCATAAGCATGATATATATTTACAACAATATTACTATCACAACATTTTTATGATATTTTTGTATAAATTTTTATATATGAATATAATTTTTCATTTTTATTTCTACTATTATATCTAGATTAGATCAATTTAATCTAGATATATTTAAAAAGTATAAAATTTGTACAACAAATTTTTAAAAAATTCATTGAATACAACAAAATAAGATAATGTACTGAATTTTTGTATGTTTGTATTTGGTGAATTTAAAAAAAAATCACAAAATATTATACTTCTTAAGTATATCTAGATTAAGCGTATCTAAAAAATAAAAAAATAAAAATTGCTTAAAATATTAAAAAAAAAATCAATAAAAATAAAAAAACACAAAAAATAAAAAACCTCAATTTTTTGTGTGAGTTAAACCAAAGAAAATGATTGTTATTTCCCTAAAATGACATGAACAAAATATCTGTATTATTTTATTATTTTATATGTATAAAGTCTAATGCACAATTATGTCATTTTAATTTGACAGGGAGTAAGTGTAATTTTTCAAATGTGAGGGGAGATTTATATTAAACGGAAACCTCGGGACGTGTCAGTGTAATTTATCCTTATTTTTATATATGTATAAAAAATATCTGTTCATCACTGTGTTTCACCCATGTCTGTGTTCTTGTTGTGTTGTTCTTATTGTCCCGTATTTGTATTTGTATTCGTATCCCTATCTAGAATCCTTTATATTCATAGTTCCGAGTAGATTCCAATATGAATATGTTTTTGAGATACATATCTGTCAATAAAAGAAGGTGAAGAAAAAAATTACCGCTTCAACTTTGCTGTCAAAAAGTGCCCCACTAATTCCAGAATCCTCGCTGCATCCACAAGTGCCACATTCTTCATGATGTGACAAACATTGAGAATTCATCATCACTGACTTGGCATCAGCTTTTGATTGGTTCAACCGGTGAACATATATGTCACCAACATAATCCCAAACCTGCTGCGTTTCTAACTCAAGAGAATAGCAATGCTGTGTATCTTTCCAATGTCTAATAGCATGTCTTTCTTCGTACCTAGATATGACAAAAATGACTAATATAACCACAAACCCATAGTAAAGGAAATTAAGCCGATAAAAAATATAACATAAATTTGCTAAGGTACTTGAATAAAGTATCGCTTGGAACACAACTAAGTGAATAATGCTTTACCTTCCACAGCCAACAAAACCACATATCACACAAACCCACAGATTCTTCAATGTTCCACAAACAGCGCAGCTTGGTTTCTCATCCTGCTGCTGACAAAGTCGGCAGACCTGATAGCATACATAACATTATAAGATAAATCTTCTCACACATGGTAGTTGCAAGCTCCTCCTCTATTCCAAAACATTGATTTTGCATCTCTTTCTGATTGCAAACTTTCTAGTTTCTATAACAAATATAAGTGGTTGGCACTAAGGTGATATACATTATTTCGTATAAACATACAAGTCAATATGCTCCTGCTGCTAAATTAATTCACTAAAAAATAAGGCAAAATCTTGTTTACCTCTTGTGGTTTACCCATCTAGCACTTTATGTCACTATGGCTCAATTCAAACATAATCACTTCACCATCTAAGTAGATTCATGGTTATGTTTCATGTCATAAGTCATTGATTTTTCGATAAAATAATAAAAAGCAAATAATATATTGAAATTTTCATCTCTTTATTACCACTTATATAGGGATGCATTTGGGACGTGTATCAATTGCCATCGTTAGGGTTGTAAAGTGAAACTACTTACTTCAGCTCAATTCATATTCTGCTTGTTAAAATTTCATCAAGGATTGGCTTATTATATAAACAAATCAAGTTTGAATACATTTTAAAACTTATTACATTTTCAAGCCAAACAATTTACTATACAACTTTGACTCAATTAAATCTCATTTTAGATTGGCTCAAAAAATAAATAATTTAATCTTAAATACATTTTAAAATTCGTTAAATTTTTAAACCAAACTTAAATAACCATACTATTACTCGACTCCATTCAGCTCACTTACAATCTTGGTCATGGTAGACTCCCAACTGGGGAAAGTCATGTATGAATTTCCAATTTGCATATAACACAAAACATTTCTTCTTGACACATGCAAAAATTCTGATGCCTATAACAAATAATAGCCCTTCATTTACAAAGCATTTGCATTGTGTTCGACATTAATGTAAAAAGGAAAAGTGTATGTTCCCGTATTAACGTGGATACAAGGTTTCATAAACATCAACCAATAGATATTTCTGACAAAATACATGGACATGACTGTCTCCACGTGTCCCCAACATATGGAATGCCACCTAGATGGTGTTGTACACAGGTCTTGATATAGAACTATCTACTAGTATTCATTATCCTTGGCACTCGGTAGATAATCAAACAAATCAACAAAAAATTGATTACAATTACTGGGGGGCATGCACATGAACTTTTGATAGAGAAGTAAATTAAACTGAGATGATAGCACCATATAAAAAAGTCCTTTCTTTAAGGAACAACATTACCAAGTTTCATTAAATTCTTTCTAATATGGATAACACAAAGGATCAATAACAATCTGGAAACATTATTGAATTCAATTCACACAAAGATAAGAGGAGAGAGACAGAGACAGAGACAGAGAAAATAAGTTATTTATCTATCTTATATTTCAAGTCGGATAACAGTCAAGAAGGAAATTCAATTAGTATTCATATGCTAATAGGAAGTTGGTTATTAATTTCCAAAAACAAACAGTTAGAGGTGGTTATAGTTCGTGTCCTTCAAGACATAATAACATTTATGCTTCAAGAATGTACATCTCATCACAAGTGGAGTTTTGAAGATACATCAACTGAGGACAAAAGGAATCCAGACTAAAACACCAAAAATCTAGCTAATAACTAGTAGAAAAGATCTGTGTGCTTCGTTTCACCAAAATGTAGCAAAAATCCACTAAAATTGTTATCTACAACATGAAAAAGTCAGAGAAAAGCAAGAATGAAGAAACTCACCTGGCAAGACAAATAGGTCCATTTCGAAACGCAAGGACATTGAAATGAATGATCACATAGTGTAGTCTGTATTCCACTTGTGTCTTGGTCCAATCTCTCTACCAATTTAGACACAGAATTACGTTCAAAAAAAAAAAATTAGACACAAAATTGAAATAAATCACCATAAAACTACAACTCACAAGTTTTTTAACCCCCAAAATCGAAGTAAACCCCAAATGCACCATCAAGAACGCGCAAATCACTACTAAACAAACTAGCAATTATAAATTTATATATACTAACCAAGACAAACCGGACAAGTAGGCAATTCAACAAATCCAGGCAGAGGTGAACAGGCTTCTTCTGCCAACTCATAGCTCTCCGCCGATTGAGCAAAATATATATGACAGACCTCAGCCTAACAAATCAACCATAAAAATCTCAAATTAAAAATACTAGTAAAAGATAACATTAAACCTTTTAAATCTAACTAATATATATACTACTATATAATGCACACAACTCATAAGGGTTTGAAGGTTTGAAACTTATTTTTTCCCCAAAAAAATGCTCAATATTGTTAACTGTTTCAAAAAATAACTGCTATGATTTATCAAATTCAACCCATATTTTTCATTCATCAAATCATCAAAAAATTAGAATGTAAAATTGCAGTGAAATTACAATTGCATACTAATATATAAAGCACACTACTCATAAGGATTTAAATTAAAAAATACTCATATTATTAACTTCTTCAAAAAAAAAAATAATAATAATAATTAACAGCTAGCCATTCTCAAATTCAACGCATCTTCTTCATTCATCAAATCATCAAAACATTCAGATGTAAAATTGCAGTAAAATTACAATCGCATCGTTTGCACCCATTGCCAGTGTATATATATATATAGAGAGAGAGAGAGAGAGGGAGAGAGGAGAGATGATTAGGGACCTCCGATGATTTGAACCGCTTTCCATTGAAGTTACAGTAAAATCCATCAGCAGTCAACTGATTGGCAAGCGTGATCAACACACTGTACCGATCCTCCATTCCATCATTCCTGCAATACACTCAAAACAAAAACAAAAACAAAAACAAAAAAACCCTAGGGTTTCAAATTCTCGAGTAACAATCTAAATAATAAAAAATAAATAAAAATTGAAGAGCTTGGGGGTGGTTACCGGAGGAAGCAGAGTTCGGAGAAGTGGTCAAGGTGGGATCCACAGAAGAGGAGGAAGTCGTCAGGAGAGAGGTAGTTGGGGACAGCGACGACGAAGAGTTTGGTGGATCGAGCGCTAGGGCTCGTGAGAGAGGTGGTGGAGGAGGGTGATTGGCTGCGGAAGAGGTGGATTACGCCATTGAGTTCGGTTATGGAGAGGTGGTTGCTAGGCTTTGCGGCGGAGCTGCTGGTGGTGGCGGTGGAGGAGAAGGGGCGGCGCGTGTCGATGGAGTGGATTTGGAGGATGAACATTTTTTTTTTTTAATTTTGTTTTTTTTTGTTTTTGGAGATTGGTGAACGTGTTGTCGTTGTTGTTGATCTGTTGGGCTTTAAGAAAGGAGAGATTGGCGGTTGGAGAAGCATCCAACATTTTTGGTTTTAGAAAACAATTTGGGCATCAACTACTCAACAAGTTAATTGATAATAACAAGAAAAAAAATGTTACAAAAAAATAAAATAATAAAAATTATAATTTAATTTTAATCCTTAAATTATTTAGTATTTTTCTTATAATAAATACTAACACGTGTCCCTTATCTATGGGTAAAAAAATGGCCTAGCAGGCGAGAGCCGGCCGTCAAGCTTAGCGGATTTCAACTAAAAATTGGGTTAAATTGGGCCGACTCACTTGTGTAAAATCTCGATTCACGCCCAAGTTCAAGTCTAAAATCCGGAGTACTCAAGGCTTAGGCAAGCTTAACCATTTTTTTATTTTATTTTTTTATTAAAATAGTTTAAAAATTACATTAAGCCTCAGGATGGGACAAACTTAAATAGTCGATGAGTGGGCCGAGTTTCAAGCTGAGTCGAGGCCCAAAACAAATTGTCCATGGACACGGGTTGGGTTCGATCTTGGCCCTACTTAGGGTGGGTTGGGTCGCACTAGGCCGTGAGCGGGCTTCGAGTGGACTAGTTTTACACCCTTAATCCTATGCGCTATTTAATATTAGGAAATACGTAAAAAGTATCTTAAAAATATGAAAAAAATATTTAAAAGTATATTGATTTCAATAAAAGTATATTTAATTTATCAAAAAATGTCTTGCGTTTTTCAATTGTTTTGTCTTTTTCTTTGTGCTCTCAAGGCACTTGTTAGTAACACCATCTTCTTATTAAATTATATTAATTTTATCTATTTATTTTTAAAATTATGGAGAAATTACAACAAAAAGATCAGGTTTCATATTTGTAATAAAATAAATTCTAAATTTTAAATTTTATTAATTTAAATCATAATATTTTGATTTGTTTTCAATCGAAATTATCTACCTATTTTTGTTAAGTAAAATCAATGAAAAAAAAAAGTATTTTAGCATTAAATTCAATGAAAAATAATATTTTAGACATTTCATATATAACTATATTGAGTTTAATAGTTAAAATACATTTTTTCTGTCGATTTTATTTAACAAAAATAAACAGGTGGTTTAAATTGAAAACAAATCAAAATATTAAAATTTAAATTGATAAAATTAAAAAAATCATAATTTATTTTATTTCAAAGTCAAACTCTGGATTTTTTCATAATTTCCTCTAAAGTTTTTAATTATTTTTTGTGTAGTCCAATTGAAGACAATTATACAAATCAATAATTGTTGAAACTTAATTTCATGAAAAAAATCACTCACCTAAATGAATTTTTTTTAAAAATCACAAATATATATATTTTTTTACTGTTTTGAACGAACTCCACCCTACGACCAAATTAACAAGTGTTTTTGTCCAAGTTATAAAATTTTCTGTTTTTTGCCCATTAAATTAGGCTTCTGATTTATACAATCATCTTTAATCATACCACGTCAAGAGAAATCATAAATTTTAGAAAAAATAAAAGTTTAGGGTTTAATTATAAAAAAAATTTAAATTAACAAGTGTTTTTGTCCAAATTGTAAATTTTTCTGTTTTTGGCCCATTAAATTAGGCTTCCGATTTATACAATCATCTTTAATCATACCACGTCAAGAGAAATCATAAATTTTAGAAAAATTAATAGTTTAGGGTTTAATTATAAAAAAAAAAATTATGATAGTTTAGGAAGATAAATGTGAAATTAATATTTGGCTAGTAATTGTGGAAAAAAAATTAACCCGATCCATCTTGTTTGGGAAATACTAAAAAATATTTACATTTTTCTAAATTTTTATTTTTAGTTGAATTGTGCTAAGATTTTATTAATTTTTTTAAAGTATTTTTTGTTTAGAAAGATATAAAATTTTAATAAAATGTTGTTTTTTTTAGAGATTTTTATTGATAAATCCATTCTAGAGTTGTTATAACCCATTAGGTCCACAAAAGAATATGATAACCTGATTAGTCCCATGAACTTTTCTTTTTATTCCATAAGGTCCGTTTTCCTAATTTAACATATTTTACTGGACTATTTTGCCCCCATATATATATATGTATGTGTACAGTGTTATACGCATTTACATAATATGTGGCTGTTTACGTGGCTGTTTCCTCGGTGATTCAGTTTGGCAGTTTCCATTTTACGTTTCTCTTCGTCAAGCCAATTCCAAGAGATACGTTTATGTTTTGCATACTCGTTCGAAGGATTGGTGGTGCTAGGGTTTCATTGTTGGTGTTCTAGTCTGGTTCTGGTTCTGTGGTTTGCGAGTGAAGATGACGAAGAGGTAGCTGTTCGGCTGTCACAAGAAGATGATGAGACGATGTGACGATGCAACGATGGAAGGAATACAGTCTTCGGGGCGTCGAGGCGATGTGGAATGTGGTTTTGGATTTCTGGACTGTAGAGGTACTGTGCGTGATTTCTTGCGCAAGAATAGAGAGGGGAAGAGAAACGGTTATTAGATTCAAAGAGAGAGAGAGAGAGGGGCGCGTGTTTTTTAGGGTTTTTTTGGTCTTTTTGTATAAAATGGACCTAATGGAATATTATAAAACAGTATGGGTTTCCTGGAACTCCACTCTTAGAGAATGGATTTACTAAAAAAGCTCTCTTTTTTTTAAGTTCACTAAATTTTTTTTTAAAAAATTAATATCAAACTCCGCGTTAAACTTTTTCAATAACAAAAAATAATTTTTTAACATTTACCGATTGGAACAACTTTATTCTAAAGCTATGATAAAAGAAAAAACCACTAAAAAACATTTGCCAACCCTAAGTAATTTGGAGCACCACGTATGAATGCTACATAAATATGTATAAAAAGAATTATAATGAATTTGAAAATTATTACTTTATTGATCAATGAACTAATAATGATTAATATAATTTTAGATTGTACAATTAAAAATATTATTATATTATTCAAATGACCAATGATCTTATGACATATATTTTTATTTTTTATGAAGTCTAATAATTGAGAAAATTACATTCAAACTTTCAATCATAAAGACCGTATAATGGTTTGCAATAATATTTATAATAATAATGTTATAATGACTAACTTTGGATAGTAAATTTTGAATATTACAAAACTTTGTTACCACCAACACATTATTTAATTACCTCATCTTCATATTTTATACTAATTCACTAATAATTCATTAGATGATATCTAAAATTCAATGTCCAACTTTGGTCTCTATAAGCATTATTCATCATAAATGTGATCTATTCATAGGCCACAAGGATGTCCAAATAAATCAAAATAGCTTAATCAAGATTTCATTAAAAAGAAAGAAAATAAAAGGAAATAATTGGGCATAATTACACTCAAAAGGTTGACTGTCATTACATTAATACCTTTGACATTTCAAAATTGTATCCCCTCTTTCAAGTTTATAATTGTTTACAAATAGCTACATCCATTAGTCATCAATAGTTGAATTGTATTGATGTCAACAATTAAAATTTTGAAATGACAATTTTAACCTCACTTTCTATCTTCATATACTTTTATTTATTTTCTTCTTATATATACACATGCCAACCACTACCTCATTCTGATTCTCTCTAGTTATCTTACTAGCACAACCACCACTCACTACTGCCTTTTCTATCCTCTTTTCTATCTACCACAACCACCACTGCATATCACTCTGCTCTTCACCCTTCATCCATATCTCTAACATCGCAACACTTTCAGCATTGCCCAACATCAATGGATTAACCCTTTTCAACTTTTATAGTGGCCAACTCTCTCGCTTCACTCTTCTTACCACCATATTCTCTCAAAAATCATGACTCTGCTCCATCGTGTATCACCAACACATTCTATACTATGGACTCCACCCCCATCTTATTTCACGGCCATTATTATCACACTTTTCCATGCAACCAGTCATTCATTATCTTAGTCCACTCAATCATTTTTACTATACACAGATCTATTACCACAACCACTATAAAAATATAACAAATCCACCAAATTTTCCTTCAAATTATACTCACAAAAATTAAAATCATACTATACAAACCAAACATAAAATCAACTCAAAATTGCCAAAATAGAAAGAATGAAATAAAGAAATGAAGAGAACGAGGGTGTCGGTAATGGTAAATGGATTAAAGAGACGGTGTTGGTAATAAATATGGCTTAAGGCATGACTTGGGTCTTGTTTGGTATGCGACACTTTTAGTCTAAAAGTCTAAAAGTTATTAAAAAAATTAAAAAACTTATAACCTATATCAAAAGGTGAAAAATTTTATTTTCTCTTTATTTTTTGTATATTTTTTTGTAAAAAACTAAAAAATCATTCTAAACATATTTTAGTAAAAAAGTTAAAAAATTACTAAAATAATATGTTTCCAAACGAGACCTTAGAGAGAAAATAGGGTCATTGATAATGGTCTAATCCATTGTTGATAGAGCATACAATGATGATTTGATTAGTGAAAAGATAAGCATTGGTAAGAAGAGAAATGAAAAAAATAAAAAAAATAAAAAGGAAAGAGAAGAGGAGAATGGTACGAATAGTGAAGATGTGGTGTGAAGCGTGAAGGTGATAATGTTGCATTTTACATTGATCATGTTAAGGAAAAAAATATATAATCTAAAATAAAAAAAAAATGCATGAAATAGGACTCGGGGATCATAGATCTAAGTTTAAAACTTCTATGGGTAAGAATTACAAGTTTTAATCTTTTGAAGACACAAGGACAGTAACAATTTTGAAAGACTATATTATTTTTACCTATTTGTCCACTATTCTTCCTATTTGTCCACCTAATTTATCTATTTGTTCATATCACCACTATTATCAATCATTTTTTATAACTTGTTCAACTATTAACAATCGGTAATAGTAAATAGTAGATAAAAATTAAATTTTTATAAACTACTGATAAATACACAACTTATTTTTACAATCAAAACAAAACAAAACAAATTCTTATTAATGCTATACACACTCCTAAAAATCGACTTGTCACTAATTTTTAGTATGAAATACAAATCTTATATATAATCCATATGTAAT